GAGAGAGAGAGAGAGACTTTGATTCCAGTCTCGGAACTATTACTCACCCAAAAGGAGGAGAAAAGGTATCAGAGTCCCTTGCAAATATCCACCCAGCAATTTGCACAGATATACCACACAAAATGCTAACATCATTAATATCATGGCAATGGCATACAATGCTTGCCATAAGTAAATACTTCCTTAGATAACCTCATGCAACTTTGACAATTACAAAATTCAACTTTTCACCTGATCAGAAGTTTGATTTGGCATGGTTGAACTTGACATGTGATTATAAAGTGATATATGCACAAAACACACTTCATATATTTGTTTAAGGTTCCCTTGTACACTGCACGGTATTCACATACACTTCCATACTTCAACACCCTTTGTTAATTACAAAAATCAACTATCATTATCCGAATTGAAGTGCATGAGTATAGATGGTTATGCAAAACACAGCTTGTCTAGAAGCAAATCATTGACTTAAGAGGAAGATAATATTAGATAATATTTGACATTTTTGACTGCATTCATAGGGAAGCTTAGTTATTGAACAATGTCGAGCACCTGGAGGGATACAATCCTTCTAAAAGCATCTAAATGCATAGATGTGGATTGCTCAAGATTAGTCAAGACCGTTCTTTTCTTTCCCCAAGCAAGAATACAGCAAAAAATTTTAAACATGATCTTACACAGAAATGCTAGATGCTCAGTTCATGTATTTCAAGAAAAAAGAACAAACTCATCCAAAGAGCAATCTGTAAAGCTTAATAAAACTTCATTTAATACTTGCATGCACTCCTTAACTTTTATACTTTTACTAGCATACCTACACTTTTATATACTTTCAACTATTATAGAGTTCAAAATTTGTACAAAATGGGGCTGATAAAAGACTCTTTTTCTGCCCCTAAAACCATAAGACAAAACTAGTTTAGAACTTGTAGGACTGCTCGAATGCACTTATCATATGTTCCATTATCTTTAGAGCTCCCTTGGAAATAAAACCTAAAATATTTAACAACAGTTAATGCCTTTCCATTCATTATGGTATGTTAGATTTTAGTGCCATCTAATGGCAAGCATGCATTTTCTCCTATTTCTTGCTGATGCCTACTGGGTTCAGATAGAAATTTTTACAATCTGTGTTATGGATACAAGCAAAAAAAGTTTTTCGTCCTAACTGGATATGATAGAGATGTTAAAAATCTCTATTAAAGGTAGAAGAAGAAATATAATACTTGTTAGCATTTTGAACAAACCACAATTTTCTCTCTCCTTTGCAGAAAACCCAGATTCGCAATTAAGAAAAATAAAAAAAAAAGAAATAAAAGCTCCTAACAGACTAACTAAAACAGAAGTGCACGCACTGATGATAAATAAGAAATGTGCATTCCAAAAATAAATTAGATCTGTATCCTACTAATCATCATTTGCCATACCTTTTCTTCCACTTTTTTAAATAATGTAGATATGGTAGGTTGGACAAGTGAACCACGATTTGCCTTTGAGTTTTCCTTTGATTTAGTCACTGTAACAGTTGACTTAGATATTTTTCTAGACTTGGACGCTGAGGTTAGAGAAGTTTGAATTTGTTCGGAGATCTGACTATCTTCTGCAGAATCAGACCTAAGGACCAGAGGAGCAGAACTAATAGTCTGTAACTATCAATTAAGGAACCAAAAACCAGATGCAAAGTAATAATTTAAGTGATTAAATATAGGGAAAAAATGAAGCTTTAAAAGTCAACATCCTGACCTGCAGCAGTGCTGCAACAGGAATATGGAATTAAATAATGCAAAATAAGCAAGATACATTACAAAAGGATATTTCCAATGGTATCATTTTCAGTTAAATCAAGTTTCTTGCCAACTTTCTTCTCTTCTCCATCTGATGGTTCGGCATCACTTCTGATAGGGTCATCCTCAGAAGAAGCCTCAACAAATCTAAATTAATACACCAAAGATGAATATAACTTTCTAAACCTCTAATATATAGATGTTAACATAGACAGAACTCTTAAGCTTAATACATGAATAACTTAGAAAAGAGAGATTATGGACAAGAAGCTTCAATACGACCTCAATATAAAGAACAACAAAATTAAACATTGATACTCAACAAATGTCAACAGAAGTGCATGACAATCCTAAGGAACCTCAATCAACAAACTTATGTGATGGGTCATGTGTTCTATGGGCTCTGATTTTAGAGTATTAGTACTCAATAGCACTGTTCATGACTCTTACTTTATACAGACACCAAAATTTTAGTAGATTAAGATCTGGTTTACGGGTCAGTCATTATGATATATCACCATAAGAGAAAAGAACAACTGTAGCCCTCCTGATAAATGAGCTGCAGGGAAAGAAATCATTTCTAAGTTCCACTACTTCCAAATTGATAGTTGACAAACATCCTATCAATTGAATCCACCATGAAAAGACTTATTTCTACAATCATAAATTCACAATGAGTCAATACAGCCCAATATTTCTCAGATACAAGGATGAGGATAAATACGGACATCTTTCAATAAAAAATACTGAATGTAAAATAAAATAAAACAGTTTGAATTGTACTTGAATCTTTTTCCAGCATTTCTTGTAGAGTGCCTAGTTGGCGTCACTTCCATCTTAGTTGTCAAGTCATTGTCATCATCTGATAAAGCATCTCCAGAGTCATTATCAAGGGACTCTATTTCAAACTGTTTTATTTCTGTTCTAGGAGTCTCTTGCTTGCTAACAGATTCCACCCCTGCACCACCTTTAAAGTCATATTCCATCTGCTGTCCCTGAAACCGGCAATGAACTGAGACAAAGATTAATAAGGGAGCTTACTCTGCAAGTCAAATGAAACACATAGAGGAAATTAAGCATTCAAACCAGAGAAACTATTACAAAAAGAAACCAACCTGACATAGTTCCTTTGGAAAATCAAGTCGGGCTTCTTCTGGGTTCTCATCTTTTTTTCCAATCCACCATGCATCAGAGAATACAATCTGGAATAATCACATTTCCAGTGATGATGAAGAAATATGCTCCAAAAGCCATAAAGCAATGAATATAAGTGTTTGGAACCCACAATGAATCATGAGGCAAAGAAAGAATAATATATTGTCAAACTTAAAAGGCCTGGAACTTTCACATGAAAGACAATTTTTACATATTGATCCCAATGGCATCAAGGGATCATACTGTTGACCACTCAACCAAGGAGAAACTGGAAGCCTGCAGTTTATACGTACACGAAACTAGAGCATGTTATTTGCTCTACATAGAAGAGGGTGTAGACAAAAAAAATGAACAGACCTTACTAACTTTTCTTTTGTCATCTGGCAATGCCCATGAAAATGAAAAACTAAAAGTAACATACACCTAGAAAGAACTACAGCTTATTAGGAAATGCATTTTCCTCAAGCATACCAAACACTATCCACTCTAGGGATATAAAATCCTAATGAGTTTTGAAGCTTATTGTTGAAATTATCTATCCATGTTGTCCTATGTTACATGGACTCCGGAAAGGGTGTCAGACCCGGGTACGCCATTTTTTTCAAAAGATTTTACATTAATTTTGAAGATTAAAGCGTCATATTCATATGAATAGTGAATTGTCCAAGAATTGTCGGACAGGTACATTTGAATAAAGTGAAAAGTCCATGTAACATAGATGCTGTCAGATTTCCTAATGTCCCGAAGATACACTGTAATAGTTGGAAGTCGGGACTTTCAACTTGAAGCTCCAGTTCAAACATCGAACATGACAGGATGTAAGGTTTATGGAAAGAGAAAGAACTACCTTCCGTTGCATATCCTAAACCCAATTCATCTCAATATGTGAAAAGAATTAAAGAAATTTTATTAAAAAAACACCATTTCCTAACTTGGTACAGAATCAGATTCACCAATAAATTCCAGAACAGAAACTACTAATAAAATAAACAAAAGGGTAAAAAAGAAAAAAAGCAGAACGAACCATGTTGTCAAAATAATCCTCACACATAACGTTCTTTCCCCCACGAGAGAACAGCAAAGTCAAATACCTGTTCTTCGGATACACAATTGTCCCAAACAACTTCATTTGACCCTGAAACCAAAAAATAAAAAATCAAACAATTTCCAAAATTAGATTTTATGAAATCCCTAAACAAATTGAACAAAAATGTTTTGGAATCAAAATTTCAAAACCTGAGGGAAATCAAGGTAGAGGATAGGGTTTTTGGAGCCCAAATTCTTGAGCTCGCCGATCTTGCCACCAGAAATGGGAGCAAGGAGTCCGGGAAAGGAGAAAAGGAAACGGTTTTTCCTTTGAGATTTCCTGAGAATATCTTTGCCATGGTGCTTCATTACTAGCTTCGATGGGCTGAGAGGAACAAAAGACTTGGGAGTGGCCGCTGTGTCGGAAACTAAGTTGTTTTTCAAAGCTAATTTCTTCAGTCTTTTCCGCTCTGTGGCTTCAGCGGTCTCTGCAATCGGCGGCTTCTTTGAAGAGGAAGCACGCACCATTTCTCTCCCGATTGGGATTTGGAAATCGAAAACAGTGTTGCTTTTTCACTGATTTCGCTGCACCTTGTGGTCAAGGCGGGAAGTTCCAATTATTTTTGCTGCCTTCTTCAGCCCTCTCGCGATGCAATGCAAGCCCACCCCCTTTTTGGCCTAAACATTTTTTTTTGAATTTTTTTATTTATGCTAATTACAACTTCCTTTCTAACAAAAAAACAAATTTCCTTTTGTAGTAAATAATTTTGGTCAATATTTGTTGCCCATTACCCCATTTAGAAGTTACAACAATAAGATTGAAATGTGTCTTGAGTTACCCAATCCAACTTTCTAGAGCATATGAAATTATTTTTATTTTTATTCACGTAATATAATTATTTTAATTATTTTTATTAATTTTTATATAATATTATATATTAAAAATAAAATTTTTTAAAAAAATAATAAATTCAGAGTCCAAATCAAGTATTTACAAACATATTGTCCAAAAAGTTTATCAAATCATTGTTTGGTTTAATTCTAATGTATTGTTTAGTCTAAATACGTTAGTTTTAGGCAGTAATACATTATCCTAATGTTCCTTTTCCATTTTGTAAAAGAAAAAGGGAAAAAGAGCAAAGCAACGGTACTCCATAACCATAACTGAAAATCCAATCTAGGATCCTCACATCGATATTACAGCAAAATAATCAAAAAGCTTTGAGAAATTGCATTCATGTAATCAATTGGGTGTTTTTCTTCTTCTTTATGTGGGAAATGGCACTGGGTAATGTAACTTTGGCTCCAATTATTCCTTCATCTTCTTGTTCTTGTTGTTTCTTCTTCACTCGAAGCTCTAATCAGAGTGAGATTTTAGGGTTCGAAACCCTAATCAAATCTAACGGCTGTCCCTTTCCCACTGTGAGAAACCGCTGGAGATCCAGCGCTATCGACACTCGCATCGGCATTGTGGAGAACGTGCTGGTTTCCTCTTCTTCCTCCTTTTCCTCCTCCCGCACTGCAACCGTCACCGGAACCGCTGCCGTAGATATCCCCGTGAGTTGTTACCAGCTGATCGGCGTTTCGAGTCAAGCTGAGAAAGACGAGATTGTGAAGTCGGTGATGAATTTGAAGAGCGCTGAGGTAGACGATGGCTACACTATGGATGTTCTCGTTTCTCGTCAGGTAACAAACGACAGTTGTAGAGGCCGTTTTGTACCTTTATATTGATTTTTGTTTGTTGGTTATGGTTTTTTCTTCTTTGTAGGAAGTTTTGATGGATATGAGGGATAAGCTGCTTTTCGAAATAGAATACGCTGGAAATGTGAAAGAAAAGATTCCACCGAAATCTTCACTTCGAATTCCATGGCGTTGGTTGCCTGCTGCTCTTTGCCTTCTTCAAGAGGTGCATTATGTTTTATGCTTTTTCTACTTTTTTTCCCCATTTTTTAGTTGTTATAATTTAGGAGATATTGTTAATTATTTAGAGTATTTAGGAGATATTCTTAATCATTTAGAGAAATTTTGCCTAATTGTCTTCTCTTTTGTAATTCAAGGTTTAATTTGTATGGGCTTAGTTTTAATGTTGGTTTTTCTTCCTTTTTTTTTTTTTGCAATTGAATCATAAAGTAAAATAAAAAAAAATTGCATGTAAAAGCAAGTACTAATATTTTTGAAAATTAAGAAAATTAGTGTTCAAGGTCAGTTATTTTGTTTGAATTTGTGTTATGTTTTAGTCATTTGCTCATTGTAAATCAAGTACTGATTTTAAATTTTTATTTTGTGCTTTTGCTTTGAAACAATTTTTGAGGAAGCGAAAAGTAGTAAACTATTGAAACCTTAAGAGTTGTTTAGTTGTTGCTTTTTTCTATTTACAGTTTCTTCCTTCAAAATTTGCTAAAAAGTAGAAGTAAATTGTATATAGCAAATCATATTTGATAAACAAAAGGGAAAATAGCTAAAATGTAACAGATATTCATATATAATTGTTCCACAGAAAAGCAATTTCCTTCATTTTGTTATTCCAAAAGTCTCGACTTTAACATGTTGTTATTCAAAAATCTTATTTGCTTTTGCATCCAAATTTACTACTCTTTTTTTTAGCTTTTGGAAGCAAAAATTAAGTAGCAAAGGCATTCACCAAAAAAATCCTTAAATAAAACGACATTGTTAGCTTGGAAAGATTGTCGGATATGGGTTTCTTCTGAATCAGGTAGGAGAAGAGAAGCTCGTTCTGGAAATTGGGAGGGCAGCTGTTCAGCGTCCAGATGCTAAGCCATATATTCATGATTTGGTTCTATCGATGGCACTAGCTGAGGTAAGCCAAATAGGCGAAGAGCTCAGCAGCTTTTACTAGCTTTAACATCGGCTTTGCTATGCCTACTTTTCTTATCATAGGCGCTTTCTTGAAGTGTTCAATTGCAAAGACTGGCTTCGAAAAGAACAAGGTGTTTGAAGGATTTGAAGCTCTTGCTCGTGCTCAATGTCTTCTGAGGAGTACAAAATCTCTTCGACAAATGACATTGTTATCTCAGGTTATTCTCATTTCTATTTTGTCCTTTGGCCTCCACCTTACATATTCAAGGATTTGCTAAGATTGGCTTTGGTTCAGTCTGTAATAGGCATCCTCTTGGTTTCATTTGTGTAAATGACAATGTTCACTGAGAGTACTTAGTAGCATACAGTTTGTAACAGACATAAAGTAAACACAATTAAAGCAACCCGAAATTTCTAATGAATTCATCTGATGGTTAAGAACTTAAATATTCAGCTGATACTGATGACTGCAATATTGTTGGGAGGATAGGTGCCGCATTTAGTCAGCATGTAATTTTATACCATCCTTATTACTCAAGGGTTTTTGTCACAGCCTTCTGTTTACATGAAATTTATTGACCATGGCTTTTAGATAGAAGAATCTTTGGAGGAGCTTGCACCTGCATGCACGTTGGAATTATTAAGCTTGCCTCAGTCACCTGAAAATGCTGACAGGCGACGAGGAGCAATTGCAGCCCTGCGTGAACTGCTCAGACAGGGGCTTGATGTAGAAACATCTTGCCAGGTTCAAGATTGGTCAAGCTTCTTGAGCCAAGCACTTAGTAGGCTGTGGGCCTCAGAAATAATTGATATTCTTCCCTGGGATGATTTAGCAATTTCAAGGAAGAATAAGAAATCAATTGAATCACAGAATCAAAGGGTTGTTATTGATTTTACTTGTTTCTACATGGCATTGATTGCTCATATTGCTCTTGGATTTTCAAGCAGTCAAACTGACTTGGTAATTTCTTCATTCTGTTTGGTCTCTAAATAACTTTGATTTTCTGTGGAAGTGGTCGGGTGGGGAGACTGTGTGCTGTTAATTCTTTCTTATTAATGTCACTTTTTACTATATTTGTGTAGATTAACAAAGCAAAAACTATATGTGAGTGTTTGATAACATCTGAGGGTAATGATCTGAAGCTTGAGGAGGCTTTCTGCTTGTTCCTTCTTGGACAGGTATAGATTTTTTCTCCTCCCTTTTATCTAATGTTTCATTAAATTACTGTAGAAATTGAAAGTTTTGTCTACTTGGAAGCTGGAATATTTCTTCATTGAAATATTTATAAAATGCATATGTTGGCTACTAGGGAAGTGAGGCTGAGGTTATTGAAAAGCTTCAACTGCTTGAATCAAGTTCAAATCCTGCTCCCAAAAATTCTATCACAGGGAAGGAGATAAGAGGCAGTTCTAGTACAAATTCATCATTGGTAAGTTTAAACTATCTCATGCTTCACATATGCATCTGAGGCTGCAGTTGATACTCAGTTTCAACTGTTAGGAGGTCATATATGTTTAATAGATTCTTTTCTAGGTGGATGTTCGCATTTTCATTTATCATTAGTTGTTTTGAATTTACTATCAAATGGTGCTTATATGTATGCTAAGAAAGTTTTTTGGACAATTGAGGAGTCTGTTTTATATTCAGGCTGTGAAGGATACATAAAATGGAGTAGTGAGTTGTGTAAAGACTCGTGGAGGGGTGATCATAGCATTTGTCACTAGCAATAGGTTTGCAACAATGATCAGCTTTGAGCTTTTACCTATTTTCTTTGGTGATTGATGAATTTATTGGGCATATTCAAGAAGCTATACATTGGTGTATGCTTTTGCAGATGACATTAATTTGGTTAATGAGATGGGAGCCAGGATTAATGCTTGAGCCATATAATCAAAAGTCTTCAGTTAAGTATGTATGAAATGAAAGTTCAGCAAAGGAAGGATGGCAATTAAGCAAGTGTTAAAATTGGAGAAAATGATATAGTGCAAAATGAGCTGTTTTAGTATCTTGGCTCTATCATGAAAACATAGGATTCAAACATGATAGGTGAAATAGAGAAATTTAGTGTGGACTTGACACTTGTGTGGCAGCAAATGCCTCTTAAGCTTAAGGTAAAGTTTTGCATGATAGTAATAAGACCAGCAGCGCTTGATGCTATTGAATTTTGGGTGGTTAAGCAAAGGATGAAAGTAGTGAAAATGAGGATCTACAAAAAGAATATTTGGATTTAAAAGACAATATATAATTAGGAATGAGTGCTGTGCATTCAGGAACTGGTGGGAATAGCAATCATTGAGCGTAAAACAAGGGAGACATGTTTAAGTTGGTTTGGTCATGTGGGACAAAGGGCTAAATGCTCCATTTTGATTATGCAATTTAATGGAGAATGTTCATTCGAAAAGGGGGAAGGGTAGTCTGATGAAGAGATGGTCCTGTGGGACAAAGGCCTAAATGCTCCTTTTTGATTATGTGATTTAATGGAGAATATTCAGTCCAAACGGGGGAAGGATAGACCGATGAAGAGATGAGAGGAAACTGTAAAGAATGACTTAGTGCTTAATATCTAGATATGGTTCTTAATAAAGCACAATATGACATTATGTTCCCATGTGGCTGATCCCATGACATAGAAAAGGGCTTGATTCTTGCTTTTGTAGAGCACATGAATTTAAAACTGTTGAATGTGTACAAATTCAAGCCATGGGCCATGTTATTTCATGTTCTCGTATTATTGTTTCTTTTCCTATTTTATGACTTGAAGACTAGTATTTGGTAAGGTTCTGTACTTTAGAACAGTCATGATTGTAGTGCTAGTTGGACTGTGTTCCATACTATCCCTTCATATTGTGTAAACTTCTTGTTTATCTTCAAGATTGATGCATTCTCTAATATCAAACTGCCTGGTGAACTTAATCAGGAAATGTGGCTGAAGGATGCTGTGCTTTCTCTGTTTCCTGATACAAGAGATTGTTCTCCATCTTTGGTAAGAGCAAAATGATTGACCTATCAGATTAACAGGGAAGTCTTAACATGTGTATTTATCTGCAGGCTAACTATTTTGGTGGAGAAAGGAAAGCTCCAGGGATCAGGAAAAATAAAGAAGCTCCTCAAACCATGGCCAATCTAAGCCATAGATCACTATCTACAGCTCTTGCATCGGAGAGGCGAGACTTCAAGGATTCTCTTCCCCGTATGAAATCTTCTCTACATATCACGTCAACTGTTAAACAATTAGCACCAACTGATTTGCAGAGCTCATTGGTACCTGGTGACAATAGCAGTGGAAGCAATGTTACTGCAGCATCTGTTCAATTGAAAAGAAATTTTGGAGTAAACCAGAATAAAGCTTGGGAAAGCTGGTTGTTCCAGAGGAATGTGACTGAGGGTTTAACTTTTGTTGCTGTATTAGGGTGCATTTTTTTCACTAGCTTTAAGCTATCAGGAATGAGATTAAGTGGGGTCAGGCACATGTCAATATGGGCCTCCAGTAAACCACATATGAACATAAGCTCCATTACCTGTAAAGGAGATTCTTCCTTAGATTACGATGTAGGCTCTGCTCATATCAAGGGAAGTGGTATTGGTGGCAGGATATCTAAACTTTTGGAATTGGCTAAGGTTCAATTCTGGAACCCTTCAGATGCTAGGAATTTACAAAGTTCCTGCCTTCCTGCTAGTTTGTCAACCTCCATTACAGCAGTGGACAGGAAGCAAATGTCTGTAGAAGAAGCTGAAGCTGTTGTCAGGCAATGGCAAGCGATTAAAGCTGAAGCTCTGGGACCTAACCATCAGGTTAATTGTCTTTCTGAAGCCCTTGATGAGTCGATGCTAAATCAGGTAAAATCTATTGAATGGTTTCATTCAATTTTATGCTTTTGTTATGTCAGCAGTAAGATAATATTACAGTGAAACTTCCCTTTAGTCTCCCTGCCTTACCGACCTGAACCCCAGAAGGGAGGATAAGAAGGGGAAAAAGAAGTGTCTGTTCTTGAACATGAGTGTGTGCTTTATATATGATAAATCATTTTGCCACCAGTGTACTATTTGGGAAATATGAATGTTGCTTCTTGAGAAATACTAGGGTTACAGACATTATATATTGATGATATCTAACTACCTGCAGTTTAGTTGCCTGTTTCACTAGCTGCAGGGGAATACTGAAATTATTCTTTGTTTTCATGTTCGTTGAGGTGGTCAAATTAAACATGATTTCAATTCAGTGAGGAAAATAAACATTTAGAGCACTTTAAAAGTCAAAGTCAAAGAAATTTATTGAATCCACTCGAAATTTATACTTTTGAGTTCTTACTAAGCAAAGATTAGCTCAAATCAAAATCAAGATTAAACCAGTTCAGAGTTTTTAAAATCGAAATCTAAACCTTTGCACAATCTTTGAATTCATTATGTGGAAAGATATTGGTATATTTATCTCAAGATTCTATTCCTGAATGTGGAAGCAACTCTTCATAGCTGAACCCTTTGGCTTTTTGTTTCACATAATTGGTCTGCAGTGGAAAGCTTTGGCTGATGCAGCAAGAGCTAGATGTTGTTATTGGAGATTTGTTTTGCTGCATTTGACCATTCTGCGAGCTGACATTCTGATGGATAGAAATGCTGGGGAGATGGCTGAAATTGAGGCTCTCCTAGAGGAAGCAGCAGAGCTTGTTGACGAATCTCAGCCAAAGAATCCTAATTATTACAGGTGAGCAGAACCTCCTTGGCTTAATGCATTGTTGGAGCTCAGATTGTAATGTTGCTGTATACAGCTATCCATTGGATTAAGAATTACACAGCTTTGAAAGGATGCAGACGGATAATTTCTAGATGTCCACTGCTGATGCGTTAACATTAAATTGCAGCTACATTCCTGCATTACGTGTATAATTTGTCTCTTCAACCAACCCGTTAAATTTTACTTAAACTTTCCTGAAAACCAACACTTGAGACTGTTTTTACTAATCTTACGACTAAGTTGTTTTTTCTTTTGATTGCAGCACTTATAAAATCCATTATATTCTTAAAAGGCAGGATGATGGATCATGGAAATTTTGCGGAGGTGACATTGAAACGCCATCGTGATACAGCATTCTGAAAATTGTAGAAGAAGCCACGACCATTTGACCACTGATCTTCTCTTAACTTAGTTTCTAGTCTTGAAACTTTGCCCTGAGGATGAAACCTGCTACTTTAAAAGCAGATCTCCAAGGCAGGCAGGCTTGTGATGAAATTTGAGTTTGGTGAGCCGTCGCATCTCATTAGTGGTAGGGATTGCCATTGCCTTGATTCTAACAGATAACAGTTTGTAAATGTCGAGAAACCTTTGAGAACCTAATATCAATTCTTTCATTGTAAATGCGAGTTTAGCAGACTTGGGGTTATATAAGGGATGTATGAGTAGTGAAAATGGAGCTCAGTTCGTTTTTTAAAATGTTTTGTCTTCCAGTTTCATTAACATTACAAGTATGATCAATAAGCTAACTAGATAAGGTAAATTAATAAATTTGGCAAATTAAGGTGTCCCAAATGTGGTTAAAGAGTTGGAAAAGCCTTCTTAATAATTCATCAATTGTACAGAAAATTAGAAAACAAGGATTACTGAATGTAATTTTGTTTTCATTGATCATTTATAATGTAAATATGGAGAAAAGGAAATGAAAACACTTTCTAAAACTACATAACTGGCCCGTAATATATATATATATATATATATATATATATTAAAACTAGAGAAAAATAAGATTTGAAATATTAGTGTTTGTCATATTTTGTTTTTTTGAGTTAGAATTGTGTATCCATAACAAGTAATATTAAAGTATATTTAAATTTTTATTAATATAAAATTTTCATAATAAATAATAAAATTAAAATAAATTCAAATCAACTTAAATGTTTTTATTTATGGATGAAATAGTCAAAATAACAAGACGTAGGTCTCTCTTTATTCAATGCAGCAAAATCGAGTTTTAAGTTACTTAAATCTTAATAGCGTTTGGTATGAGAGAAGTTGAAGCACATTTCTTGTAATGTGTCTAATTAAATCACATTATAGTGTTTATTTTATAACAAATCATTGTAATATTAGATTGCAATGCAATCACATTATAGTCAAAGGATGTAACGTGATTGTAATTCAAAATCAATGTAATCACATTACATTACACTCTGTAATGTTTTTAAAGATATTTTTACTTTTCAACTTTATTACTTTGTTAAAAATATTTTGTAATATTATAATTAAAATAAAAAATATTAAAATAAAATATATAATATAAAAATTAAAAAATAAAATAAAATATAAAAAATTAATATTTATACAATACAAGAAAAAAATTTAAAATAAAATATATAATATAAAAATTATATTAAATATATAAAAATAAAATATATAAGATTATAATAAAAAATAAAAATAAAATATATGTAATTAAAAATATATTTAAGAGGTGGTATTATATAAAAATTAATAATAAAAAATATAAATTTATTAAATTTATATTTTAATAAATAAAAAAAATTTTAAAAATTAATATTTTATTTTAATAAAGTACTTATAAATTAAAAACTGTAATGTTATTTTTTTTATATTTTAATTATTATTTTACTTATATATTAAATACTATAATATTATTTTTTTTACACTTATATTACTTGTAATCAAATTATATTATAAAGAACCAAATATCATCTTATTTCATGTAATACATATATACGATCAGAGCATTTATCCTGAGCTATAATTAATTTTATTTTTTTTCTGATTGGTATTCTTTAACAAAGTGGAAAATAATGTAATGGATAAAGAAAAGATTCAGCAACAATGGACGTTGTTGAAGGGGGGTTTAAGTAATTATCCCGGAAAGACTTTCCTGGGTTTTTCACTCACATTCTCTACCCTCTTTCTCTCTGTCTCTCATCATCACATCTTAGTTACCCAATGGTACTTAACAATTTTAATCTTTCGTTACATTTGTAAATTAAGTATAAATTAGGGGAAAAAAAGGAAGAAGAAGAAGTAACATTACCCAAAGTTTGGATTTTGGGTTTGGGATAGTTGGCATGAATTATCAAGGCAATCGGGAGGAGGAGGAGGTGGAAGCGGCGAAGAAGAGATGCCGAGTGTTGATAGAGAAAATAGACTCTTTGGGCATCACCATCACCCAACCTTGCAAGCACACCCTCTCCAAGTTGGCCCATTCCGAGCTCTCTTTTCTCTCTCGCTTTCCCAATCCAACCTCTTCTCAACCTCTCAGGTTCAACTCCTCCTCCTTTCTGTAATTGCAATCATTTTTCATATTCTTATTACTAATATTCAGCTCTGCTATTTATGTTTTTACTTCCTCAACAGTTGCAGATATTGAAAGCTAAAAAATGGTAAAAACATGTAGAAGCTTATTTGATTAAAATGAGTAAGTGGTCGCATACATTGTTACATAAAATCCTGCATCTTATTATCCAAAAAAATAAAAAATTTGTTTTTTTTATTCAAAAATAGTATATTTACTTTTGTATCTAAATAATCCCTTTAAAAAAAAAAGTCGCTTTTTGGCTTTGAGAACCAAATTAAAAAGATAAATAACAAAAGCAACAATCAAAGAGTATCTTAAAACGTGAAAACCGAGAAGTAGAAATGGAAAAAGTAACAATTATGCATAGCATTAATAATAAGCTAAAAATTAACAAAGGATTTCATTGTCTTGTGTTGGAATGAACAGTGTCAACATTGGGCACCTGGAAGCCGTTGTCCACATTCTTCAACAACCTTTCTTAACTGCAGTTTCCCGTGTTTGCAAGCCACTTCCACTTCCATTTTCAAATACCAATAAAACCGATTCTTCTTCTTCTTCCAATCCCATCCATGTCCATATTGTATGTACTCTCAATAAGAACCCAGTTTGGATTATTGTTTCTGATAGAAACCCAAACTACATTTCTTGGTATCCAAGTAAGAAAACCAAGGGTTTTAAGTCTAGAATTCAAAAAGTCCTTGATGCAGCACAGTCAACCAACACCTTAAGACCCTTCTCTATTGTCCTCTTCTTTTCAAATGGACTCACAAACTTTATTCATCAGAAGCTCAAGGATGAATTTGGGGCCTCCAAGCTAGCACTGGAGTTCTCTGACTCTGATTTTGATTTCTGTGAGGAATTTGAAGGTGAATGGATTAATGTAATTCCGAGGTCGTATAAAGAGACATGTATACTTGAAATTAAGGTTGATTGTGTTGTGGATGATGCGGCGAGTTCTGAACATGGGACAAAAGATCCGTTTGTGAATGTTTTGCCTCCTGAGTGTCAAGGAAGCGATGCGCATCTAAACTTGGGCTTAGGCAATTCTTTTTCTGCTCTTGTTTCACAAATGAAAAAGGTGGGGTCCACTAAGGTGGAGGAGTTCCCTGGTGAGGATGATTTTGTAAACTTTGATACAACAGCTTTGATAGCCCTTGTATCAGGAATCAGCAATGGTTGTGCAAAGGAACTTTTGAAAAAACCAGAGGTTGAACTGCGGCATCGGTTCAAGGGAAATTATGAATTTGTGATTGCACAGGTAAAATTTTCATTCAAGTTATAAGTCTTTCTATTGTTTCATGGCACATAATTTTAAGAATCTTGATGATGCAAATTGATCCAAATTAATAACATAAAATTTTTTCCTCCTGTCTTTGCATTTCCCCATGAAAGTTAGATAGCCTAAAATAGTTTCTAGGCATGAATTCTAGGTTGAAATCTATGTTTCTTGAAGGTTCAATATGTGTGTGTATAAAATGTCTGACGAAAATTTTGTTTATTTGTGGAGTGAAGTTTGCTAATCACTTGCTTGCACTTGTTCATGTGTTGGGCTATACATTATTTTAAAGATGAGGAATGACTGAGGAACATTTCTTGTGAAATTAATTACAACGGTAGGAGTTGGCTCACTGTGGCCATATCAGATGGTTATATCTCCTCACCCCCACCCAACCCATTAAATGATAAGGTTAAAGAAATGTTCAATTTTCTTGTTGACCTCTAGCCTCTAGGTGAAGCATGTCTCCACTGGGACAAAAGAAGAAAGCATTCTCGCACTTTCTCTGTCCATCTTTTTCCACAATATTTAGTAATGAAGCTATTAGTAATGGCAGACTCTTTGCTCATCGTTTCCGTAGTTAAAGTATATACTTATCTTTGGAAACCTGAGGCTACTTCTATGAGACTTACATCTCTAAACATTGGAGGAGATAGGTTTGTTCCAATGGAAAGTGCCCATGGAAGTCATATGACTGGCAAGTCTTACCCCATGTAATACCTATCCTGCAATCATGTTACAGTTGATTTCCTTGTTAATTTAGTAAGCTTGTATCTGGTTTGGGAATTCTTCTTCTTTACCAATTTGCATTTATGGTAGTAACTTGAATTACTGCTCAGAGCAATGGAATAATTCCAGTATCCTTCATATCTTTGTCTTCTTTGCATCACAAAATCTTGTCGTGCTAATTAAGTATTCAAAAAAATCCATGATATTATTTTCTGCTGCTGTGCAGAATTTTAAGCAACCAGAACTGTCATTTTCAGCTCCTAATTTGTCATCAATCTTAACCTCACCCACCCCAATGAATTTGCAGATGCTTTCTGCCTTTCCTACCAAAATTACAAACCCTATATAACCTAGTTCATTAAATTGTAGCTGGGTCTAAATAACCTAGTTCTTTAAATTATAGCCTGCCTAATACAAAAACCATGTGGGCTGGTGCTGATATATGCTACATCACTGTCTGGGTCTTACTCAACGTAACTCCCCCAAGTGCCTTCCCACAAAGAGGGTAAAGAAAAAGTGATTTTGAGTGATAAGCATAAATTTTCCCTTTTTCTTTGAATAGACATTTTGGACTTTATGATGCTGACTTTTCACTTATGTTATTGTTAACATAGACATAATTTGTTTTTATGCCTTTTAAGGGGTAGTTTATATTAGACTTAGATCAGTTGCAGTAAGGTTTGTATCTCTTGCCAGGCAATGTCTGAAATTCAGAACCCAATACATGCAGACCTGAGTGTGGCTACATCTGGAAAGAGAGGCATCATATGTGAAAGTGTTCTTTCAGAGTTCAAGGAGTTAGTATTGATGTGTGGAGGAGGTAATGAGAAGAGCAGAGCTGATCAGCTACTGAAATGCCTCCTGTGAGTTTTCTGATTACTGTTACTAAGATATTGCAAAGTAGGGAAACTAATTGGCATATTGTGCTTGTCATCACTTGGAGGTTCTTTGATAGCATGATCTCTGTCTTTCTAATTTTGTTTTTATGTGAAATTATTGTCAAAAGATGTCATTTTTTCCCTATTTATTTCTCATTTCAACCCTCCCAGGCTAACAGGTAATCTATAGGTTGCCATAATTGTTCAAATGTTAATCATAAATCCCGGTAAGATTTGATATCACAAATCCTTAAGAAAAATGTTTTAGAAATTGAATCCTTTATTGAATATAATTTGTTGGGTCAAGTTTAGTTATTAGTAACAGTAACGAACTGGCTTGTTTTACCAGTGCCTTAATACCATCCAAATGAATTAAGACTATACAGTCAGTAGTGTTTCTTTGTCAACATTCTTACTGGGATTTATGATTAAGACAAGCATTGTCCGATTCATGCCTTTTTCCCTTGCTTTACTGCTAGAAATTGCATAAATCTGATTTAAAATCAGATGTAATCATTTCTATGGCTAACAATTCTACTTGCTGAAGTTAAGTCTTTATTTTGTATCAATGCATATCAAGTGGTCCGTAACTTCTAGCACTAATCTCGATAGGATTTTGATGTAAGATAGCTAGAAGTTACCCTATATTTACAAGACCTTGGTACTCATGTAGGAAACTGGGCTGATTAGGGCTTTTGTGGTTAATTTCTAGGGTTACTGGTGGTAAAAAGATGCGAAATTATACGAATAATTAGGTTCAGTTTGGATTTACTGTAAGGTCAACCTGGGCCGAGAAATCGAGGATTTAGAGAGCTATTTAGGGCAGTCCTCATACTGTGACAGTACACGTCAAAGTAGGAGGAATGGTTCCTTATGAAGGGTTTACTTTGATAGTAATCTGATGCGAGTGTAAGGATTTAACTAAGGGATGGGGTATTTAGGTTGTGGTAGCAAATCAAACTAGCACCAAATCTGGTTTCAAATATGAAATCTCAATTAAAGCAACAGAAATATCAATAAAGAAGAAAAATAGTTAGAATTACACCAAGGCTTCTCTAGGAGTCATATCTAACGTTTATTGATTTAGATTTGCAAAGTGCAACAGTGCTGGGATAAAAAAAACTCAGGTAATAGTTTTCTTTTCATGAAATAAGTTACAAGCTTTATATCTAGGGCTATAACAATCTTATTCCTAGAACCAAAATTGACTTAAAGGAACTCCTAAACCATAAGAAAAGCATATACACATAAGTAAAACTTAGAGCACAACCCTTAGACTCAAAATCTTTAAGCAATTGTAGGATTACCAGAACACCCAATGCTTAAAAATAAGGGGAAGAGGATAAACTAAAACCAAACAAACTTCTATCCCTTGAGAAACTTAAAATGAAAACAATAATATCTATTCTGGGTTAATTCAGGTACTAAATTGGTATAGATCAAATAAAGATCCTAATTCCAGATTTTCTTGAATTTAGAATTTGACTTTTCTCAACATTTTTGTATGTGTGAACTGTTACAGGATTGTGCGAGATAGCCCTTCAGAACGACTTATAGGCCTACCAACTACAAGAAAGCTGGCACTGAAAAACAAGATTGTGTTTGGAACTGGTGATTACTGGCATGCTCCGACTTTGACTGCAAATATGGCATTTGTGAGAGCAGTTGCACAGACTGGGATGTCTTTGTTTACCATTGAGCATAGACCACAGGCATTAACTGGTAACTAGCCATGGTAACCAGTGAGACATGCTAGGCAGAGGAAATCCATTTTTCGTTAAAGTGTTCTAGGGCTATCTGTACAGTTGTCAGCTATGTCTTGTATATGGTAGAGCAAACTCGCATTTTCACTTACAGTAGGCTGTTTCAATTAATGAAAGTCATATTTGGAGAACATATTAAGGAAAGATGACCTCTGATAGCCCATCAGATAGAGACTGATAGATTTTAACAAATTGCCGTAACAGACATTAGCCTTTTATGTTATTATCATTGTCTCATATTATGGTTGGCCACAGAAGAAGCTTTGGAATTTGCACTAATAATTTACAAAGCCCTTTTAGTTGCACACTTGCCCATTACTTCACATGTTTCAGATATCTGGCAGAACACATGCTTGCTAGCAAGCTCATGAATCATGATCACACTCCATTATTTCTCACACCTAAGTAACTCCTGGATGTGTTGTTACTAGTCATGCACCTTGCTTGTTAGAGTAACAAGTTTGAGATGGTTACATGTTAATAATTAATGCAAGAATGGGAGTAGTATGGTGTGTATCATAAAAAAAATTTGGGAACCTCTAAAATATTGTCAATGTGCCTATTTGTTGTCGTAGTAAATCGCCAATAAATATTAGTATGAATGTGTTTTTCCTGTGTGTTTAAATGTGTGTATTTGGCTTTTCATTTGATAATTAACAGACGGGATACAGGGATCGAAATATTCCAGTTCGTTAATCATTTCTATTAACAAAATGCTTACTTCATCACAAAACAGATGTCCTAGTGTTATACCATGTGAAGCTTAAATTTTGTTTTGATATCCTTACTTTATGTTTTGGTTATTGAATATTGATGATATCTAAGAGTTTATTACCATTTACAATTTTGTACTCTTACAAGGCAGGGATGCCGAGATGGAAGGTAATTGTTGATGAATTATAACTAAACCCTAAGCTAAACTAGAATTAAATCTTTGATTGACTTTTCACTGACTTGCGGTAGTACTTTACCGAGCCTAGTCCTCTAACATTCTCTAGATGAAAAATATGCCAGGATGATTTCTGCTTGTGGTTTGTCAAAGGGAAACCAGGTTGGTAACCTACTTACACTGCAGTAGAAGAGCAATCCTTTTGACCATTTTACTCATTCAGTTAATTTTCTTTTATGCCTAGCCTCAGGTGCGGGGTTGATTCTCAGAAGAAAAATTTTTCATAAAAACACCCATAAATCTAAACTGATGTATTTCTGCAAATAGCTTGAATGATATCAATACAGTGCAAAAAGCCAATAACAAATTTTCACACTAAATATAAAAAAAAAAGAAAAAAAAAAAGGCGAAGACCTTCCCCATCAGAAAACTGGGAAGCTGTCGAATATTAAGTACGTATAAAGTATGCTTAAGAGAAAAGAATTTAAAGCTTCAATCTAAACTTGCAGTTACTAGCTTTAATGCTGATGATATTGTTAGCAGATAAACTATCAACCACCAAGTTGCAGTCTCCCAAGATCCTCACCTTCCTCAGCTTTAACTTCCCTAGTTTGATTGCTACAGGGGCATCGACCTTAAGATCCAGAGGTATCTGTCCTGTTTGCTGCTGCTCTTGCAGGGCTGACATCAAAGTGCTTCCAGCCTCTGTTTGTCCTGTTAACACCAAGTCCAACTTTGTTATGTTCTGGTGACCTTGGTAGAACTTCGGCAATGATCCTTGACACAGCTTTGAGTGTGTATACCACACGCTTAATTGCCCTCCTTGCTCGTAGTATATTCCGATTTTCTTGTTGGGATTATTTGCTGTGATCTGGACGTCGAAGTTTGCATACAAGGTCATATCAAAGTTGAGCCTCAAATCACTTATTCTCAGGCTGTCAATAGAGTATTTGGGTAGTTTTGGGCGGAAGGCAAGGTAGAGAATGCCAACGGTGGCACCAAGGATTATCAAGAGGAGGACAATGAGGCTAATTGTCCAACATATGCACCTGCAACAACAGCTCCTCTTCTTTGGTGGCCTTGTGTGAATCACAGGAATGGTACGTTGTGGCAGCCGATGCTGAACCGGGCTACCTTTTTCCGATGTAGCAGAGCCAGGAGGCACCAAAGGCGCTGTCGGAGCTGGTGCTTCAACATCCACCACGGGATGAATTTTCTGCTGCTCTGTCATAACTATTCTTTCTTGTTTTCTTTCCTCAAACAGGTTTCAACACTACTAATATGAGAAAGCCATGGCAATGCTTTGGAAGCGTCATAATATATAACAACAATTTGACTTTTGGTTCCTTATATGACTTGCCCTTCAACCTAGACATGTGCTTCTGTGGTATGTCTTGATTTGTCCATTAAAGGAGCAGAAACTTTTGGGTTTCAAAAGTCTAACCTGCTTAACCTAATAACAACATATACAAAAGCAAAGCATATAGGGTAGTTCAGCTAAAGTAACAAGAAAGCACCCTTTGTTCCTTGTAGGTAACACTCATTTTATTCAAACCCTGTTTTATAAGGCTTTACAAAGTGCATTACAAGCCTGTTAGATGTTTGTAGTTGGGGCTTGCACAATCCGAGAAGGATCCAAGCTTTGTAAAGTGACGTTTTACAATATTTTGTTTAAGTTTAGACAAAAAATTTTGAATAATTTTTCTCACCTTCGTTTACAAGAAAGTGGCCAAGGGAAAGAGAGAAAGGAAGAGAATGGTATTCGTATATCATACAGCACCTTAGGAACAGAATATATTCTGCAAATACTTACAAACTCAACCGCATTGCTATTTCATAGATTGTTTAGGTGACTTACTCCTTCATTAATGGAGGAAGCAATGATAAGGGAAATTCAGCATCTCAAGAACCATTTGTTGCAGCCAATGTCGTTTTCCATGTGTACCCAGTCAATCTTTACAGTGATAATTTAAGGGAAATTCAGTTTTCATACTATCTAATATGGGCAGCCAAAAGTCCACACCCAAAAAAAGACCTGTGTTAACTTGCCCTGTTTTAGGCCTTACGAAAAGCCCACATGCTTCCTTAATGCTTAGGCAACCACTACCATTTGAGATCAGGGAGCCCATGGCTTGAACTAATTGAAAGCAGAAAATGTGTTAAGCTTAGCTTCTCAAGGTACATTTATGTCTTGATTGCTGAGACTCACACTTGTTGAAACACCTGCAGCAATATTTCAACTTACTAAATGGATATCAAGGAGATCTAAGCACATACTATGACTTATAAGTCAGAACGCAGGTAGCTTTCCAGGTCTCTGATCTACCTTACATATATTTGGAACTTAGTGTTTTAAACTTTAAAATACGTCTTTTAGAAGGCATTATGCTTTTATTCTCGCAGGCAGCTCGCAACTCTTGACAGAAGCACAAAGATTGACAGATGAACGAATATATTTTTTCTTTTTATAAGCCACAGATAATTTCATTACCCTCCCTATAAAAACAATTCCATCCAACCCTATACAGAGCTTCATGCTCACAATCCCACCCTTTGTACGAAACATTACATCCTAATACTATATCATCAATTTACAATCCAACTTCCTGTACAACCCCAACAAAACCACAGCTAGTCACTCAAGAAAATACATAACTACCTGCTGAACACTCTCCCAATCAGCCATACCCAAAGCAGACAGGGGATGAAGCAAAAACCATCACTAAAAGATAATAGCAC